GACTGGGGGCACAGCAGGGATGGAGCCAGGGGCAGCAATTGGGGTATCACAAGCTCAGGACCACCATGGAGTGGCGGATGCCAGCTCAGAGAAGTTGGTGGTGCCCGGAGGGCTGTGTGTTTTATTCGCCAGCCCTTCCCCACCCAGCAGCTCTCAGCTTCTGCAGCACTGGTGGGGCTCCAGCCACATCCCAGCACCTCGACCCATGTTTTTGTTATCGTATGGCACTATCCTGCTTTCCCTGGTGTTGGCCTGCTGCTGGTGCTTGAAGTCTTGCTGGGAGAGAGGAGCTGTTGGCATACAGCATCCCCAGTACTGGGGAGGACAGGGGACATTGCCACACCCACAGCCAGCCCTCACCTGCAAGAGTGATCTCCCCAARCTATGGGGACTCYTACCTTTGCAGYTGGGTGTGATGCAGGCAGTGAAACCYGACTGCTCTGCCATCCCACAGGTCAGGCAGTGCTTGTGCTGGATGCCCAAGAAGTGAGCGAGGGGGACAAGGGCAGGGCACTTGTGGGCACAGGGTGACATGTCAAGGACCCTCAGGGATACCACTGATCTTTGCCATCCCACCAGGGATAACTTACCCGTATTCACAAAGCTGCTGCCATCAACATACAGTTTTTGCCTGGTTCCTATAAAAGGAACCCTCAAATCTGCACGACTTGGCACCTACCTGCTCCACGGTGTGCAGCTACTCACGTTTCATTTCAGTAGGGTGCAAAACAGCTTCATTTAAAGTTAATGTCACACACATGACCGCTTCTCTCCCTGGTCCACTAGCACAGCTTTGTATTTTGCCAGTCAGCTTAGAGAGGAGCAGTGCTGTTCCTTGGGATTSCAAACAGCCAGCACAGCAAATGGGACTAGCACAGTTAGTGCTCATCCCAAARTGAATTTCTGGGCCTCCTGTATCACTATAGGGTGGTGGCTGTTATGGCCCATAATCGTGCTGACCATGTTGATTGGAAAAGGATGTCACTGGCCTTTGCCAGCTTCCCAGGAGCTGTGGGATCCCCACAGAGGCTACTTGCTGATTTGGATGCACACATCGTGGAAAAGGTTTTGTCATATCTGGAAGGCCTAAAGCTGGCATCCTTTAGRGTGTCAAAACAGGTTCAACATTCTCAGGACCATTCCAGCAATTCTTCAGGGCCTTTGACTGCCAAATAAAGGGGATTGGCTATTGGTCCAAAATTTGGAATCTATATATTGAAGGGTAGGACTTTTCCTTTTCTTTTTCTTAAAGAATTTTGTCCCATCTGTTGCTAAGAGACCAGTACTTAAAAATTAAGACAAAATAACTAGCCCAGGGGATAGGTGCACCTGGCTACTTTCTTAACTGGGTTTTTCTTGGAGGGGCAGAGATACCATGAGATTTTGGGCTGGGGTAAAAGGGGCTGGATGCAGCTCCTAGCGCTCTGGGCATTTGGAGAGGAGACATGCTGCAGTCACTGCAGGAAGAATTCAGCACCACTGCAGAGTTCTGTCTTCTACTTTTCTCATGCCATGAGTGAGGCTGTGCTCGCAAGAGCAGCTGTTGAACTGGGACCTCGTTAACATCCTGCCTGACTGGAAAGGACTCTCAGCATGTACCCAGCTTCCACAAGGGTAAACCTGGGATCCCTCCGCTCTGAGGGAGCCTCTCCCGGTTCGGGAATCGGGCTGCCGCTGCTCACACTGCAGGTTTTTCCCTGCCACTGCTCCAGGTTTCTGCTGCAC